GGAAAAGGGATTTTACAAAAGAAAAATGCTATTAAGAGTTTTTAACCAAAAAAAAAAAAAAAAAAAAAAAAAACAAAAACAAAAAAAAAAAAAAAACACTGAAATTATAAAAAACTGAGGACAGCCATTGCTATTGAAATACCAAAATTACACAAAAATCCACCGGTGGCGCATACATTAAACGTTATTTCTCCTTATTTCTAAATAGTTTGCACAGTGAAATGAACTGATAAGCTCGATCGGAAACAGGTTTTCACACTTAAGCACTCCCAGTGGAAAACAAACAGTCTTGAATTCTTACCATGCGTAAGCACTGCGCGACTGTTTGATTTTCTGAAGGGCAGTACGTTAGATTGATTTAACAGTTGTACGTACTACATGTACATGTACATTGTATACGTGCAGTAGCAATTAACATCTTTAATCGTTGCATGACAAAGGATACAACTGGTTGATTGATTTTTTTCCCTGTAATTTAAATTTTAGCAACAGTGCGTCCTTAATTTCAGGATTTTATCACCATCATTATCACCATCATATATTGTTGTTGTTGTTAATTGTTACTGTAATAATAATAATAATAATAATAATAATAATAATAATAATAATAATTATTATTATTATCATTTAATGTGTGTAATATATAGAATGTACATGGAATCCATGACAGTTGGAATTTTTGTAAAGTTTAAATATTTAATCTGAAAAAAATGTATAATACAAACCCCTTTTCAATTTTTCAATTTTTTCCAATAGAAGCTTTAATCTGTCTTTATATTGTATGTAGGTATTTAGGTTTCTGTGATTATTTCTGATTAATGTTATAGATTAATGATTAATGTTATATATACATGTTTAACATTCTTTATATGGATCCAGTGGAGTGAGGAGAGCTGCCTTACATGGAATTTCAAAATTAAGAAATATAGATGCTAATAAAATATAAGTACTAATGCTTTTCATGTACAAGCTCATTATCAGTTTGAGTATATATGCAATCTATTATATGACTCTGTATTCATTAATTACCTCCGCCAAGGAGGTTATGTTTTTCACCCCTGTTTGTTTGTCTGTTTGTCCGTCTGTCATCAAGATAACTCAAAAAGTTATTGACCGATTTTGATGAAATTTTCAGGAACTGTCAGAAGTGAGCCAAGGAACAGATGGTTAGTTTATGGTGGTGATTCGGGTCAATAATCAATCAATAATAAAAAAAAATCGAAAATTTAGGGGTGAAACGGCATTGGGTGGAGACTTTGCCGCCTTGGCGGAGGTCTGCCACCCTGAGGTCTGCGCTCTCTGAGTGCTTTATAGTTGTATCTGTATTCATTTTCTTCATGCTTAGCCTTTTGTAAAAAATGCAATAATTCTCAATGTCACATGCATAAAGAACGGTAAAAATGTGTTGTTTATTTATTTATTTTTATTTATTTATTTTCTTTTTTGCAATGACCTTGTAAATCCCCCACCCTCTAGCAGTTATTGTTATCTTCCAAGATTAGCCAGTGATGAGCAATGAGCGTTGTGCTGGATTCACATCAAACACATCAGTCCTTTCCAGGTCCTTTCAGCCTCGTTCCAATACGCCGGTACCACGTGACACTCAGAAGAGAAAGGCACTATCATGGCTTCCGAGCAGGCCGAAATAAACGAGGTAAATGATATGGATATTTGACATACTCACACCAGTCAGGTTGTCTAAATCGCTGTCAATGAAAAACCTATATCAGCTTTGTCATAAATAATTACTTATTTGATATTACACGGTTTGTTTTTAGTAACTATTCTGTTGAAATATTTCTTGCCAGCTGTTTGGCGCCGTGGCCCCGTGTGACTTTGGTAGGCATGGGTTCACGAGTGAAAGAATGCCATAATTGGCCACTGAACGGTTATGTAACTTAAACAAGTACCCTCTTTGGGAAAGTGAGTGTGAAACGAAAAAAAGAAGAAACTGTAATTAAATGATAAAAGACTAGTTACGAAAACGAGAACTTTTGACTACTGCCACAGAGTTATTCAAACTAAATTGGATTTAATTTTCATGACTAATTAACTTGTTATGATAGTAAGCAGGACTGGAAAACATATGGATCAGTTATACTCTTTTTTAGAACAAGAAAAATTCTTCCAATACCCTTATATTTAAAAAAAGACTTAACGTACATAAAGGTTATCCATTCAAAAACTATTTATTTAGTCAGATATATTATTGTATGCCTGTACGTGTATCATTCAAAAATTGCCTTTGTATTTCATTTACAGTTTATTCCTACTAGTACAAAATTTTCTTAGTAATACTAAGCTTAACAAGATCTTTTTATGTGGTCTTTAGGTATCTTTGTAGTTAACGGGCAAGGTTTATATTTGTTAACATTAGGTGTCTAAGAGTAGACCACATAAACTTGCTTTTGCAGAAATTTGAAATAATAGTAATTTTTTTTAAAAATTGAAGTGATGACCTGTAGGGCCTGTTTAGCCTAATGCTGATTTTTTTTTATAAATAACATTTTAAGTTAGAGATCCAATTAGAAATGTTTATATTTTTGGTGAACTGTTTGGAGATGGACAATTCTTGCACACATACCATTTAACATGGATGGGGGTCAAACATTAACATGAACTGAAAAAGTTTGTATGCAGCCGAACATGACTGAGAGATCAATAGAACACAATTTGCTTACATACCAGTACTTTATAATGAAAATGACAAAAATGTTCCATTTGCATATATTCTACTATATCAGTAACTTAATAATGGATATTATGTTGTATTAAATCTTTGGTTATCCATTATAGCGACAACCTGAAAATTCAACGGATAAAGGTGATCAAGCTGAAGATGACCAGGAAATGACCCCAGAAATTATCATTAAACATCCACTCCAAAACAGATGGGCACTTTGGTTCTTCAAAAATGACAAGGCAAAAGACTGGGCATCTAATCTCAAGTTAATAACATCATTTGATACAGTTGAGGACTTTTGGGCGTAAGTTTCATAATTTTTCTTATGCAGACAATTGAAGAAGAGGACAAACTGAATTAAAAAAATGTGAAATATAATTTTGTGAAATTTTGCCACCTTTAATTTGAACACTGGATAATTTCCATCCCCTGTATTTTGAATACATATAAACACACAAAAATTGAGAGGAGTTGAGTGATTGTGCTGATAGCAAGTTCACACAATTTTATAATGTTTCCATAATTTTCATGGGTCATCCTAGCCAAATGATTGCAAGTTTCTGACCCAACGTGAATGATATAGGGTTAAAACAAAGTATTACCACCCCTTTATATCCATTTAGATTTTGAAGCACAGCTGCAGTTTTACTTACCTTAAGGCTGGGCTTTTTCCTCACTCTGTTTACACTTAAAATTACTTAAAAATGTAAGTTGTGTATCCCTTTGTAATATGTTAATTACAGTGTAATAACACAGTGGCATGATATCACTGGGTTTACTCGGTATGTGTAGTTGTCAGAGCCTAAACCAGCAAAATATTTGGTAATGAGAAACATTTTGTCCTTTCAATTTTGCTAATTATATGTTTTCGGCTTCAGGGTGTATAAAAATATTAAGCCATGTAGTAAACTGTCAGCTGGCTGTGATTATTCCTTATTCAAGGTAATGGTTTGAGAACATTTGGGCAGTGTTGCTGTGTGTTTAGACATATAAAACATGGATGGGGGAAATTGAGGACATACTTTTTAATGCTGAGGGAAATAGCACTGGCATTTTTGGTGTTCATTAAGGTCAGTGGGGTTGGGTACGTGATGCTAGTAGTCTTTAGTAAAAAATGACCATTTCTTTACTGATGTTCACCATTCAGGCACTATATGTCTTAACACACAGACAAGGCTGTTGTATGATGGGGACAGAAGATGGAAACAATTGCTTTTTGCAGTAAATTGTCTGCCCTCTCCTCTGACATAGCCCATGTAGGTGCTGTTCCCATTAGGATCAGCAGAAGGTGTTGTTTCCATCTTTTTCCTGCCGTGAGGTCATGAGTGGGAAGTATGTTTACTAAAAATGTATGGGTTCATACTTCCTGCTGCCTCTGCCTATCCACATTTGTATTGTGGTGTTTTAACATGAGCATTTTCTATCCGTAGGTTATATAACCATATACAACCGGCTAGTAAATTACCGTCAGGCTGTGATTACTCATTATTTAAGGTAAATATCATGACAAAAATGGCTGATACTTGGTTGTATGTGCTGTATGGTTACAATTATATTGTTGTTTTAAAATGTAATATGCCTGAATATATTATGGCACATGCACTGTTTGTTATTCTGTATGCATCTCTAGAAGTGGTCTATTCTTGATTCAGTGTTTGATATATGGGTCATTTAGCTGAAATATGCTGAGTACTATAGCTAATTGTGTGATCTACTGCTACTAAACTAGGCAGTTCTGGCTCACTGTTGAGAATGGGAAAGCTGTCTAGGTCCAGTCCATGAAAAGGGAAAACAAAATTCACAGACACCAACATAGATAATTTTCTAAGATTGCCATTTACTTATTTTTTGACTGTTCAAAAGTATGAAAATTATTCAGGATTGAAGTGATAAAATGGGTTAACTGGGTTTTTAAACAAGACATTTTTCAGCATTTTTTTTTTTTTTTGGTAGTGCAATATCCTTCTTGCCCTGCAAGCTGTTTTTGGCATGCCCTTTACTCGAGAGAGGTAATCTGGAAACAACTTAAATGAAAATCACATGCTCTGTCTAGACTATGACATTGTAAGGATTTTATTACGTTTTGCATCCTTAGGAGAAAAGCATTTTTACAGCCTTGTGGCCTAAATAGATGGAAGTTCTTTTCTGTTGAAATAGATTTCTTCAAGCCAACTTTGCTCTTCTATACTCTTAGATATCTGAGATTAACAGAATTGCTTAACCCATAAGGTTATTTGAAAGTCTCTTTGGTATGTGCTCTACTCATAATTATACAGTCCATTTAGAACTAAATATTCATATATTTCCTTGGATAATGTGATTTAGGGAAGGTTTGATGTGACAGGTGTGGGACGTCTCGAGTTTAAATGGGGATAATTTGAATTCTTGTAACACAGTTAAGTAACTGGGACATTGTAAGTTATATATGGAAGAGGATAAGACTGAAGAGTTCATATATTTATATTTTTGAAAGTCAGCTTTGTCTGTTGGAACATTGCCCGTAATTGACTTATGATTGATGTCACTTTTGCCATCTGATTTTAAGGTCAGTGACCTCAGGTTGAATAAACAAAGGTCACAGGATTTCTTTTACCTTCCAAGTTAAGATCAGTATGACCTGAGGTCAGATAAACAAAGGTTTTATTGTCCAGACTGACTAAAGGCATTACAAATTATGGAATGAAACCATCCTTTGACTTGTATTGTTGGCAGTCTGCGACTCTAGCCAGTGGTCTGGCGTCCAAAAATAGTAAAGTTTTGTGTGGGCTAGTAGATTTTTTAGAATGTGTGAATCAAGTGGTCTGACATGGCATTTTTTTTTTAACTGACTTTTTCCACAATTTACAATAGATATTTTTGAGTGCGTCTCCATGGGTGGAAGCATTCCTAAAAGATTTGACAAAATCAAGGTCTTGTCATTACTATTATTAATTTGTAATAGGGATCTGAGTGAATTTTTTTTTTTTTGGACCAGTGATTCTTAATTAGGACCAGTTGATTTTGGGAAACTGGTGAAACTGGTAAGCTGAAAAGTTAATGGCACAGGATGTGTTGGGCTTTTGTTTTAAGATGTTAAGATGAATTACTGAATATGTTTTTAACAAATGATTGTGCATTTACAGTAGTAGACTAGGATAGTATGTGCTGACCTAGAAA